TCTACCAATGCCGACTATAAATCTACAAAGCAGGTTCCTTTTACAGCCATGGCGAGTCGCTTTAAATTCCAAAACACAAGCGACGTCTAAATTCCAAAAGACCACCAAAGAGGCTGGCTATGAGTAATAAATCGGCCAAAATACAACATCCGACACCAAAAGTCTACCAATTAGTTTGGATCTGAGTATTAAATCTACCAAAAAATGATTTCAGATCCCAAAGGTCTACCAAACCAAGATCTCAGTTAGCGGAGTCTGTCTGTAAACCGTACTTGTCATCAAATAAACTTCGAGGGTTAGGATCAGACATCCGGGATTCTTCTGCTTCATGTACTTCATCAAAAATCTCAGCTGCGTATTTCATACGAATGAGAGGCATGTTGCTATCTTTCAGCTGGTCCCATTTATGGCACAAAGCCAAACACTCGATGGTCTTCAAAGTAAAGACGCCACAATCACCTGATAACAAGTACCCGATAATTAGTTAAAAGTCTACCAAATAAAAATACCAAATCTACAGAGCTGCATTGCACCTGTCTGTCTGTTTAGTGCCGCTGTTTTATACATGTAGATATGAAACTGCCCCCTCCTTCATACCCTTCTTGAGCTCCGGTGGTGCCATATGTTTCAACAACAGCGGAATCATCCTCGCGTAGGGCTTCACAGACTCCTCCACCTCGCCTTTTCTGTATAAATCTGGAATGCAATCAAACACTCGGATCTTTTTTTTGGGAATGTCGACCTCAACGGCTACCCAATGTTCGTTGTTCACGTTGTGGGCGATATACACGAAATCAACATCTGTCCCCCATTTCTTGTGTGTAGGCAAGTAATGGTCGTAGTGACCGTTGGCAACGTCCAAATAACCATCACTAAATATCCAACTCTTCTCGTTTGGTAGAAATTTGGTTCGATAATCTCCACACCAAACTCGACAAAAGATAGGATCAATGAAAGCAACTCTTCCCCCTTTGTAAGGAGATGGATACCGCATAGACCGTTGCCGGAACATGTCTAATCCTTTTACTATATGCTGCATTAGGTAATGAAACAAATTTATATAAGTCTACCAACCAGCTTTACAAGTCTACCAAACATAAAAGATACAAGTCTACCAAACATAATGACTAAATCTACATTTTGTTACTACATAATAGAATACAAGTCTACCAAACATAATGACTAAATCTACCATTTGTTACTACAAGTCTACCAAACAAGTCAACCAAACATAATGACTAATTCTATCATTAAGTTTCCAAAGTCTACCAAACAATTTCCAAAGTCTACCAAACCTTTTGAAACTAAGATCGAGTGACTGATACGACCACATACCTGATCATGCAACCACCCATACTCCTTTCTCGGCCAGCTTTCTTTAGGGGTCATTAGTGTCAGGTAAAATTCTCCTCCTGCATATGGACTCTCCAACTGTTTTTCCCTGAAAAATGACATAGACATACCAGACTCCGAAGTAAGTCTACCAACATACCTAATAAGTCTACTATATAAAACAAATAGGTCTACCAAATCAAACAAGTAAGTCTACCATGGAAATTTAAAACTGACTTACGCTTCAAAAGCTACGTAGCGGGTTAGATTATCCAGTATTCGACTGTCCACCGCTTCAAAAGGATCATACCTCCCAGGAGGGGGACCTGCTGGGTCCATGATGCGTCTCACCACTGAGTTACCAAGGTAGGGTGAAACCTGGGTCGGTGCAAGGGTGCGTCCC